CAGATGGACTGCTGTTAGAGCTGAAACTGCTGGTATAATCACTGTATTGTTGGAATGGTGCTTGTGCTGCTGCTATGCCTCCAGATGCAGATGCTTCTTCGTCAGAGGAGCCCATGCTGTTCCACGTGAAGCAAAGTAGATGCTGCTTCCTGCTTCAGTGGTGCTGATGCTGCTGCCCGCATTGGTGTCGCTGATGGTAGACAAACGGTGGTGGCGCTGCTGCCTGCTTGAGTGGTGATGATGCTCCTGCCTGTGTCCGATGCTGCACCCTGCCTAAGAAGTGCTGGCAGTAGCCTGGCGCAGGTGTGATGGTACGGTAGTGCACTGAAGGGCTGCGGGTGCTGCCACCTCCTGAGGTTCTGAATTTGGTGCTAGCTCAGCATATGCCAGACCTGCTGGTGCTGCTTCCAGCCTAAGGACGCCCGCTGCAGCAGCTGTCAGATGGATTGTGGATGCAGCCATATGAGCGGGAAGCTCTGAAACCGTTACTTGCTGATATGATGTCGGCTCCACTGCCACACCTGCCACCGCTGGTAAAGCACCGGGACTGTGCTGCAATAGGGACGCGGCAGAAGCACTGGCCTTACTGTCGGCAATAGCTGACAGGAGAAATGGGGTGAGCTTCGGTAGTGGTCCTGTCAGAATCTTAGTGTGGGGACTGTGATGCGAGGCAGGGGGGCCAGAGGAAACATGAGCTCGTGGAAGCATGGGAGATGGCAGCAGAGGAGGAGGAGGTGGAAAGGGAAGGGGCCTGCCACCCAGAATGGCAGCACCTGATGCGCCACCAACCACCTCCTGCTGCTGCTTCTGTTCCTCAACTGCCTGCCCTGCTGTCAACTGCAAAGGTAATGCCTGTCGCTGCTGTAGGGGCCTGAGCTGCTGCATTGCCCGCTGCAGCTGTCCCTGTGGCAGCTGTAGCATCTGGTGTTGCGCCTGCTCCTGTGGCTGCTGTTGATGATGGCTCATTGGCTCGTTCGGCTGTTGATGCTGCTGTGGTTGCTTCCAAGCCGTGGAAACCAAAGGCTGCTGCTGCCGTGGCTTGTCACAAGACCTGAGACTCCACGCAACTCCCACCTTAGGCATGACCAGCAGGTGCTTTTTGTTCGCTGCAGGGCTTCCAGGTGCTGCTGCAGCTGTAGCTGGAAGAGCTGCAGTGGTAGGAGGAGCAGCAGCAGCGATACCTGGGGGAGCCCCTGGGTGAAGCAGCGCAGAACCAGAATCTTCAGGAGGTGCAGTAGCTGGGGGTTGGCTGCTAGTGATAGCCAGGAGGTCGGCATTGGTGGATGTCTGGACCTTGTTCGCACTGCTGCCAGAAACTGCACCCTGATGCGAGAAGCCTGTGCCCTGTGCAAGCATCTGCTGCTGCTTTAACTGACAATGGCAACAGCACTGGCATGTACTGCTGGCACTGGACGCAGGAGGCAAGGTCCTGAAGGTTCCATGTGACCCCACAGGAGCAGCAGGAGGTGGGGGAAGCTGCAAGCGGGAAGAGGGAACGACCGTGGGGGGAAGCAGTGAAGCTGGACGTGCAGGAACGGAAATTGATGAGGGCATGGTTGGGCGAAGCAGCTGCAAGTGGAATAGGACTGGGGAAACCACGGAAGGAGCACTGCATGGGGCGGAGATACCGCCAGCAGTAGTCCCTCCAGCAGCAGCAGTGGCTGGTATCAGCGAATTCTGCAAAGGCAGAGCAGGTGCGGATGCAGGTGGGCGCGCGCTCAGGTCACTGCGAGGAGCAGCAGCAGCAGGCGATGGAAGCATGAGCGCCTGTGCCTGCCTGACACTGACGAGAGGGTGAAGCGGCTGTGACCGGACGAGAGGTGCGGCCATATGGGGAAGGCTGGGGTAGGAGAGCAAGCGAGCAGGTGCTTCTGCAGCTACGATCGGGCGGGAGCATGCCTCCACAGCTGCTGCTGGGCGTTCAACAGATGCTGCACCTGCTGGGGTTGGTAGCGGTGCTGAGAGAGCTGAAGCGGGAAGGTGGAGTGGAGCCACTGCAGAATCGGGGTTTTCCTCAGCTGAAGCAGGACTGCCTGAAGTAAGATGGAGCGGAGACATGGGGGTCGCCTCCAAAAACTTCGCCAGCCCATGCAGTTCAGGAATAATCCCGTCTGCATCACAGGCTGCACGAGCTTTGCTTGTGTCAAAAGAATCATTAAGAGGAATTGTACTAGAAGGAGCAGCATCAGTACCTTCTGCAGTGACCGTAAGAGCAACGGTAGTGGTGTTCTCTCGCGAGTCAGCCATGCAAATTGAAGCACCTCCTGAGAAGTAGAGGTTATGGTGGTTACCCCGAGGCACAGTGGGGCCCTCACACCCTTCTCCGTCGGCCAAGAACTGGTCCACAATGTCTGTACAGCTTCCTGAACGACAAAGCTTCTTCTTTCCCGGATCATTCTGCTCTGCAGCACTTGCACTCTCGCCTTCGCCTGTTAACGAATCTGTGACTGTAGTCACGGGTACTCCACTGAAAGAATCCGTTTCTATGTACGAGCTCCAGTCTTCCATCCCGCCACCTCCTCCAAATGCACTGCCACCCCCACCATCTTGGAAGCAAAAGGCGGTCGCTCTCAAACTTCCCTGACCGTTTCCGGGGCCGCTCCTTGATGGTTGCCACCAGTGATCGTCGTCAAATCCCAGAGGACCTGACACATTGTCAAGTGAGTTGCAAGCAACGCCTTTTCTGCTGTCACGTAAAGCAAAGAGAGCGTCAATCTCGCTCACGGGAATTTCAGTGTCTGACTCACGATAAATATAGTATTGCGCCTTCTGTGCCACCTTTGACTCGGCCTTAACTATGGTCATCGACGTAGCTTTGATGTTGGGGAGCACTGCCGATTCCGAGCTAGACTTATCGGGTGCAGGCGGAGTCAGCTCCATCCGTGAAATATTCGCAGCCTTTTCTGCCCGTCGTTGCCTTGTCGCTGCTTCCGCCAGAAAGTCAATACGCTGTGCGAAGTGACCAGGTCCTGCAGCGGTAGCGTCAGATGCTGGGACATTGATCGACCTGGGGGTTTCATATCCCGGAGAGTCAGCGTCGATGTTGTCAATAGCTCCTTCGTCTATAAGCCTCGCCGTTTCCATCGCAAGAGCAGACCGAAGGACCGGGCCGACGACCCCACCGCAACGTTCCATGATGTCAGCCAAGTTCGAAGCGTACATGCGACTTCTTTCAAAGTTCAGCCGAGTTTTCGCTCCACGAATAGCTAGAGCAGCTACGTCATAAGCAAAGGCCGCTTCCTCAACCGTCGTGAAAGTTCCGAGCCAGAAGCGAACGTTACTTGGACCATCACGAATCTCCGATGCCCATTTTCCCCAATAGCGCTGTCGCACGCCACGCAAATGCGGATGCAGAAGCACCGCTGGTGACCTGCGCCTCTTCGCTGATTCTTTCTTGGCAACACCGATGATGTCATTGGAGCCTGGAGCTTCTGATGTGTCCGCGTTAGCCTTTGCACCGTCGTCCAGATCAGCTTCACGTTTCAGCTCGCCACAGCCGTCTGGTTCGCCTTCTAGGTTCCGCTTCTTGGACTCGGCGTTCGAAGCTTCAACAGCATTGTTATCCGGTTCGGTCTTAGGACAGGTTGGGTCTTTCCGCGTCTCTCCATCCAGCAAAATGTCCACATTTTCTGGCGGGAGGAAGCCGGCGTTGTCCATTCCCGTAGAAAAGAGTTCTGTGTTCACCGACGATAGGAAAAAACTATACTGCCTGCAGGTGACTATACTGTCCTCAGCTTCAATGCTCAAACATTGTCACAAAAGTTCTGGAAAATGCTCCCGGTAATGTAACATTGACTGAGAGGGCTGCGAGCTCGTTGTAGACAACATAAATGACACGTCGCCTTCAGAGTCCTCGTCCCAGCCAGAAGTTCTCCTACGTAAACCTGCTCTGCACCCTAGCTTGAGTCGTGTCCGCTATCAGGCTTCCTGAAATACATTCCTGGAAGAATCTGGAGCCTGAATAACTGAGCTAGAGCGTGCTGTATCAGTCATGCTGGATTTGCTAGCTAGACATAGCAGGGAAAGGCTTGTCAGACGAAGGTCGCCTGAGCAGGGGGAATGAGGAAGCTTGAATTGAAAGAGGGCAATCCGAAGCACCAGAATCACTCGCTGCGGCAGTGTGGAAAAGGTTCTGTCCTTGCTTCTTGGCTGAAACCCGTCGGGACACGTCATCGCTCTGGACACTTCTGATTGGTCGTATGAGGGCCCAAGGTGGGGCACGCGGACCAAGGGCTGGGCAAGAACTCTGCGGCTCGGTCACCAAAGTGATGTGATGACGTGATCAATGATGCGGGGCAGGTCGAATAAAGCTGGACTGCCCGTCTCTTGTGACAGGTTGGTCCAAACCAATCCATACAATCAGCCAGCACCAGGAACAGACCATGAACACAAGTGACCAGAGTTTCGGGACATTCCAGTCGTCCCCGGGGAAAGAGGATGTGGATGTCAACGACTAACATGTTGCCACCTGGAGGTGTCTGGGGTATCTGCCGCCTCCATCCAGGGCAGGTGGAAACTGGACGAGGAGCTGAAGTCTCAGCAACATAGAAAATATTCGTAGATAACATGATCAATCTTTGCAAGCGATGGTTCTGGTAGCGTAGCACAAAACCGAAGTGTACTGAGTCGAGGATGAGTTCAGTTCGTATTGCTCTTGAAACTGGATAAGTCCACGTGGAATTCTATCACTAGTTGAAAGATTCTGGCTTCCTTACCTCGCATCGCACGGGCTTGCCAAACTGCAGGCTGTACTTTTCCGGTCAGCTTCATCAGCACAGGAGTCGGCCGAACGGAACCGAGGGGAACGAGACTACTGTACAGTGCAGAAAGGGGAACTAGCGGTGGTGCGTGACAAACGAAAGAAGCAAATTTCGCTGTCAGGGAATCTCGATTCTCTCGAGGGGCAAATTGCGCGGGCGAGACGGACATTGGGGTTTGCTGCTGCGACCACCCCAACGTTTTCCCACAGCCGGGGATTTCTGCCACTCCCTACTGCCAAGATTTCGACCACATTCCCTCGCTTCCAGAAGCCACACAAACCATTTCTTCACCACACCAGCACAGCACGCGCCGCCATCTTCCGACTTGTGTCTCTCTGAACCATTCGGACGACTTTTCGCTGCTTGACCCATCCGAGTTTACAGGATTTTCAGCGGCTCTTTTCCGTGACCACCACCACATACCACTTCCTTATGTCTGCTGCGTCTGCCGCGTCTCCCGCTTTGGTGGGGGCCTCTAGCGCTCGCCTTCAGCCCGCTGGCTCCATGGCCGCGATGCGCGTACCGCCAGGATCGCTCCTGCCGCCCAGACTGGGACCGCTCGGCGCGCTCTTCACTTCGTCGCGCTTCCTGTTATACAACCGAAAGGTTGGTGCTCTTCGCTCAGAGTTCCCAATTCTGTCTCACCCACCATCTCTCCCCGCCCTCCCTCTTTCTAGGCCCAAAGCCTCTTCCTAGCCCCAATGCCTCTTCCCCGTCGTCATCATCCGCACAACCTTTTCGCCGGAATCAATTTAAACAGTCTACGTCATAATTCGACCCTCACTCCGCTCGTCCTACTTGACCCTTTCCCCCCCACCGCCCACCCCACCTCCCACCCCCCCCTCTCTTCCCCCTCTCCCTCCCCCCCCCCCCCCCATGCCCCTTTCCAGTCCTCATCATTCAACCCTCGCTCCAATCTCCAAGCCGTAGCGCCCCAGGCACAGCCGCAGGCTAGCATCGCAATGGTCGCCGACCAATCGCGAGACAGCAGTGGTGACAGTATCGACGACGGGATTACCGGTGATGAGGAGTTGGCGGCGCGGCGAAAGCAGTGGGACGAGGAGCGGATGCGACTGATTAAAGACGCGACGGCCGCCGCGGTGGCGTCGTACGAGGAGCGCATCGCGCGGATCGAGGTGGATCAGACGGCTGAGATGGCGACGATGCGACGAGTGGCGGAGATCGAAGGGCAGGTCATGCGACGACAGTCGCAGGAGATGCGGGAACTGAGGGTGAGTGAGGGATTGAGATGCTTAGCGCTAAGAGCGAGTGGAATTTAGATGGCAGGATTGATTAAGTGTGTGGCTAGGGCAATAGTAAACCTAGCCAATTGGCCAGGCTTAAATGGTCATGTGCGGAACCATAAACTTGGGACACTTTTGAAACACGCTAAATTGCTTATATGACGGTCAAAAGCTTACCGGTTAAGGGTGGGAGCTTAATCCTAGTATGTATACTAATGCTTTATCCCTCCATGCCTCCTCAGGAGGAAATCGAGGCACTCACAAACGAGTTGGTCCTGACGAAGGAGGTCACTGAGCACGTGATAAAGCAGCGGAGCCGCCGTGAGGAAGAACTGGAGGAGATTAAAGCACAGGTCGGCGCGCAGATTAAGAAAATCGAGGATGAGAGGGCTCTCTACTCCGGTGCCAGGAAGGCCTTGGCCGCGGAGTGGGGCAAAGTGAGAGAGACGCGGGAAGAGCTGGAGAGGAAAGAGGGAGAGGTGGAGCAGGAGAAGCGGGCGCTAAGAGAATTAGTTGCAAGGGTAGAGGAGGAGGAGAAGGAGGAGGAGGAGGAGGAGGAGGAGGAGGAGGAGGAGGAGGAGGAGGAGGAGGAGGAGGAGGAGGAGGAGGAGGAGGAGGAGAAAGAAGGGGAGGCGGAGGGGGAGAGGCAGGCGGAAGAGTGGGCGCGGCTGCAGGGGGATGTGAGCAGGGCGGAGGAGCTGCAAAGGAGGGAGCGGGAGGAGCGAGAGGAGCGGGATGCAGGGGCGGAGTCAGAGACTGCTGTCTGGCTTTCCGCTGCTTTGCATAGGTGAGTGTGGTGCAAGGTTCAAAATTTCGGTAGTGGAAAATTTTGGTTGGAAACTTTCGACGGAAATCTTCGGCCAAGTTTTGAAAAAATCGGTCAAATCTCATTAGGAGATGATGCTAACTCTTCTTCTTTCGTAATCCTGCCCAATGTTCCACATGTACTACACACAACTATCATTTGCACTCTAGAGACCTGGGGAGTACAAAAACACATTGAAATGTCACTAATCCTCGGAGGCTTCTGAGCCACTATCGCCATCGCTAATCTCCCAAGGGAAGATCGCCTTGGACCCGCTAACAGCATCCTCGGTCGCGCTATCATCGCCACTCTCAGCTTCTTCTCCTTCCCTTTTTTGGACGCATTACCACTTCTCCTTCATGCCCTTCCCCTTCATGCCCTTCCCCCGCCCTCCCTTTCCACAACCTCTCTTCCGAAACTTGCGGCCGAAAATTTGCACCAAAAGCGGGAAACCCAATTTTGATGATTTTGATGGAAAGATTCGAAAACGAAACTTTCGTAAAAAAAAGTCGGAATTTCGGCGAAATTTTGAACCTTGGTGTGGTGGCACGCACTAGAGATGGCAGTATACTGACAAATGCATGCCATGACAACATGGGGAAGAACAAGCATGAGAACCCAATATTGTAAGAAAAGGCATGAAGTGGGTAGTATTGGATGAGAGAAGCACCGAAGGTATGGAGCTCATCTCCCTCCTCCCCCCCTCCCTCCCACCTTCCTTCCCACCTGTCTTCTGCCTACCTCCCATCAGAATGAAGACTGAGCGCGAGCAGCATCAGCCGGAAGTGGCAACAGCCATGGCAACGGCCACAGACCTCTCAGCCCGCGTGGCCTCCTTTGAGTCCTCCTTGCTGGAGGTTCGCCGAGCCATAGACACCACCAGAGCTGCTCTCTTTCGGGCCAAACTCCGGGCAGAAAAAAAAACAGCGGTTGTGGGTGACCTCCGCTCGCAGCTGGAGAAAGTGGAGCAGGAGCGCGAGTCGGTCGATGTTGAAACTTTTCGCGAGCTGACCGTACAGTTGGTCGATGCGAGGAGAATTCTGGAAGAGGCGGATCGGCAGCAGAAGGAGATGGCTTTGCTACTGGGAAGAATGACGGATGAGATTCCGGCATTAGAAGCGCAACTGTCTGAGGCTCGGGATGCCCTTGCAGAGGAAAGGGAGGCTCGGGAGCAGGAGGTTCGGAAGCTACGAGAGTCTGTGGCTGTGGCTCGGGCCGAAGCTGCGGAGGCTAGGGTCAGATCCGTTCGGGCCGAGGCTCCTCTTGTTGCAGCTGTGGAGGAGGTATGGAGACGGCACAAGGCGGAGGTTCAGGAGCTGGAGGGAAGATTGGAGAAACTTGTGGTTCGGGAAATCGGGGCTAGGAGGCTGCAGGGCCTACAAGAACAGGTATGGATTTCCAGCTTCCACCGTGGGCGTTCAGGGTATTTAGGCATATTTGTCTCCAAGGTGAACTAATTTCTGTTTATCTGAATGCAGGTTGACTACTATGTTGCCGAGATCAATAAGGTGGATAAAGCAGCAGAACGAGCTGCTACAAGGTACATGTGATGTGATTGAATGCTTCTTGTGGCTTTGGATAGCGACCTGTTTAGTGGGGCTTGCACTGCACACCTTTTTTATTTGTTGTGGCTTTGAAGATGTGTTACCAGTGTGGATGCTGCACATGGTTGTAAATGGGTTTCTATGAGTAGGTAAATAGCAGCAAAAGCTGCACATGTGAAAAGGCTCGTTTAAGTGGCATCACGGCAAGTTTGCATTAGGATTTGTATTGGGACGATTGTGTAAAAACAATCAATGTACCGTAGTAGCTTCCTTGCAAAAAGAAACACGGCCTTCTCTTCTGTAATTGTTCGAACTGTATAAAGTATCGCTCACCATGACCTAAATCGTGCCTGATCGCGAATGGCCTAGCTGCCTGCCAACGAATAAGAACCCTTCGCGCTAAACAGGCAAGGACAGCGCAGCCAGCAATTTATTCGAAGAGCCAATAGTGGAGTTTCGCGGTATACAGGCGAAAACAACTCAGCAAGCAAATGATCCTGGATTACGGCACGCATATCCTGCCCGTTCGATTTCTTCTAGGTTGCCCCTCCCCTAGGTGTTCGACTACGTCACGACGAGCCGCCAAGCCGAATTCCAAGGGTAGATTGTTTCGGCACCGTTCCACGTCATTCCGAATCCCGGCCTTTTGAACCGAGAAAGCGCGGCAACCCCGGTCAATGTCCCATCTTATTGGGTCATCCGAACTTTCGCCAGACTGGGCCCTGACCTGCCTGCCCGCCAGCCTATCACGCGTTCAGTGGCGTGGCGACTTACCAACGCGATCCGTCTAGGTAGCCCTCCTCCGCGTGTTATTTGCTGAATAGCCCCGCTAGCCCTTGTTTCATCTGTCCGACTCCGACACCGTCGTTTCATCTAAACCGAACGACGTCAATGGCCAGGATCTACTGGGCAGCAATCTCCCCATCCAGTTTTCCTGCGCCTCGTCCCCCGTATTGGTCACGACCCACCTCCCGCCAACCCCTTGCAGATCCCCCCTCCCCTCCTTCGCCCCCATTGCCTAGCCTCACTGCCCCCAACCGTGCCCCCGCACCCTCTCCTGCTCGCTATTCCAATCAATCCCCCCCTTCCCTCTCATTTGCACCCGCCCCCTCCCCCCTTTCTTCCGCCTCCCCCCTACTGACGCGGCTCCTGCTTCCTCCTCCTCCGCCAACCCGACAGGAAATATTGTTGTCCTTGGTGCACATATATTACCGTTCATGGTGCAATGAATAACCTCGCCCCAGCCAGTTTAGTTGGTTTGTCCTCTTGTCTTCCTCCCGTTTCTTCTTGAAGTTAGTCCTCGCTCTTCAGCCCAGATCTAGCTCGTTCCTTCGCCACGCGCAATGGCCACAACTTTTTTAGACTCGGTGGTCAGGTCAGGGGCTTATGGAGCCTCAGTCGTCAAGTCGCAGCTTTCAGAAGGCGCAATGGTTACGGGTCGCGCAGAAGCGGCTCCGCGGGTGATGTTCACCAAGGACGCGAGCAGCACTCCCGCGTTCGCCGCTCTCGACATCGACTCGCAGTCCCTCACCGACAAGCCACGTGTCCTCCATGTGTTCGCCACGATCCTCAACCGCATCGTCGCCAGCAACGAGGCCATCTCCTGCGCGAACACCGCCGCTGACAGCACCGCCGCGAACTGCGACGGGATCGTCTGCGAGAGCCAGGCGTCGCAGCTGACCGTGTTCGACGGTCTGCGGGCTCCCGGGATCAGCATTGATAAGTACTTTGATCGGATCGTTAAGTACGCCCGCTGCAGCCCGTCCTGCTACGTGATGGCCTACATTTACATCGATCGGATCATGCAGCGGAAAGACGCCATGCTTATAACGACGCTCAACGTGCATCGGCTCCTTATAACGGGTGTGCTTGTAGCGGCCAAGTTTCTGGACGACGCATACTACAATAACGCGTACTATGCGAAAGTCGGGGGGATCTCCATAGAGGAGATGAACCGTCTGGAGCTGGAGTTTCTGTTCCGGCTCAACTTCCGACTGAATGTAACTGAATCGGAGTTCTCCTCGTACTGTAACGTGCTGCACGAGCAGCTGCTTGCGGAGGTAAGTGTTTCAGGGGAAGATGAAACCTCCTCCTCGCGGTCGTACGGTTTCTTCTTGCCTCAGCTCCTGGCGAGTACGCTTTCAAGTAGCGGCCGGTGGAGCAGCAGTACGAGTAGCAGCACTTGTAACAGTAACAACGGCGATGCAGGCGATAGCGGCAGCGAGATCGCCAGAGGCGACAGCAGTCGCAGCAACAGTACGGACGGCGACTCCAACTGTAGCTTCGATAGCAGCAGCAGCGATAGAAGCAGCACCGGCATTGGCGCCAGCAGCACTAGCACCTCGCCTTCTTCGTCGTCAATCTCCCCCAGTATCGCCTGCCCAACTACCCGGCAAGATCGCGCGCCGACTCATCAGCGGAGGACGTCTTTAACCGCCTCCGCGCTGTCCGCCGCGTCGAGCATCCTCTCGTTCTTCTCCCCGCGGAAGCCCGCTTCTTCCGCCGCCTCTTCCGCTACCACTCCCGCCCTTTCCGCCCGGCCTGGCAGCGCCCCTGCTTCTGTAACAAGCTCCCGTCTGGTAACCAGCTCGCATGCTGTAACCGTGGAGCCGGCAGATTCACGTCCACAGAACGAGGCAGGTGTTAGTGTGGACAGCTGCGAAGGCTCGGATTCAGAAACCGCCGGTTCGGGGGGCGAATGGCTGAGGTTCGGAGGTTTGCAGGCGAGTTCACAGCAAACGGAGGCTCGGGAGTCGAACTACCAGTGGTGGTTCGGGAGGGAGCCAGGGAGCAGCGGTGTGGAGTCGGTGCCTCGGGTGGTGCTTGTCAGCAACTAGAACAGCTAGTTTTGCGTTGCTTTGTCTGCTTTTGTAGAACCTCTCGCCCTATACACCTCCCGCTCTCTTGTAGTTGGGGAGGGGGAAATGTATCGGGCTAGAGATGCATGTTCTGGTTTGTTCTTTCCATATTATTTCCACTTCTAAAGGTTGTCCTTTGGCACGAGAAATTGAAAACTATAGTGAAAGCCATAATAGATTACATTGTACTCCTCCCCTACTAACTAGTCCCACACACAATATGATGGCAACCAAAGCTGGTGGCTAAAATAGCAGACCTGGAAGCCACTTGAATTTTGTGGCAGCTTTGAGTTCAAGCCTGAACAAGAAAAGTGCGTTGAAACGAGTTATAATCGTGCTTGCTGATTGGAGGAATGGCGAAAATTTTCGTTCTGCTGTTTGTTGCGACACGATCATGTGGATGCGATTTGCGCAAAAACACTGTGTGCATCGTACGGAGTTTCTACGACGGGTTTGGGCGAGGAGCTTGCGACGAGGAAATACAAGCACCGTTATGACTGGGGAATTCAAGTCATTTCCAGGTCTGCAATTCCGGAATCAGCTACTGTTCGCCAAATAACACTGTTCTGCTCGCATTTTGACTGTTCACATGACCACGAAATCGGTCGCACGACGCGTATTGCACTATTCACCGAATGATTTAGTGCAGAAGTATCGCCAAACCGTCACGGTCAGATTCCGCTATGCAAAGCGAAATGTTTTTACTCTGTTTCGTTACTCTAAAAATTAAGCCATGTCCCAAGTTCAAGAGGAAATTGAACAACCCTCTTGTTTGCTACTATAGCCACGGGCTTTAAGAGTTAGTGAGCGTTTCTAGTCAAGCTTACCCTGTCAAGTGTTCTGTCAGTGTGTTGCCAGACCTTCCAGCCAAGCAGGTTATCAGCTACCCTGCTCGCTCCCTTGCCCACCCCGTGGGCCACCACCAGCCGGCCAAACTATTGCACCTGGCACAACCCAGAATTCCACATCGCCTCCATGTTGCAATGATTCGGTATTGCGGTGTTATCACCCCTGTGGTCCACCTGCTGCAGCTGCTTTCCACCAGCCACTGCAGCCGCCCCCCCTCACTGGGCTGTTTCAATACACGTCTCCTCTATGTCTGAACTAGGTTAGTATTTGCAACTAGACACCATCGCTCTGCCCCCTTGGTACTGTGCTATTCTCCCAGTTCCGGACCGTGGCACATCCCTGCGACTCCACGCCTCTAGCCAGCCAGCAATCACAGCATAATATCACTGCACCTTCTCTCAGTACTGCCCCACGACACACACACCCCTGCAGCTCCACGGGCCGCCAGTTGCTCTCCACAAGCCAGTGCATGCCGCCGTGCCCCACCATGCCGCACCTGTCTCCCCTATTCCTCCCGAGTCGATGTTTGAGTCCACTCAAACGCCGCCCTGCCCTACCAGGCTGCTCATGCACCGGCACCTGTCTTCCCTATCCCTCCTGAGCTGGCTAGTGGCTGCAGCAAGACATCACTGCACCTTCTCTCAGTGCCATCTCAAAACCGCGCCCGAGCCACAGGGGCGTGTCATGGCACTCAAAAGTCACCTCAAAACCGCGCCATGACTCGCCCCTGTGGCTCAGCGGGTCGCCAGTTGCTCTCCACCAGCCACTGCATGCCGCTCTGCCCCACCATGTTATGGCTGTCTCTGTCCCCCACCACGACGCCTCGAGTTGGTCAGTACGCAGCAACGTCATTGCACCTCAATACCCTGCCATGACACATCCTTGTGGCTCCACGGGTCGCCAGTTGCTCTCCACAAGCCATTGCATGCCGCTCTGCCCCACCATGCTGTAAACGTACAGGTCCCCCACCACCACTATGCGTTCAGTCGGTCAGTACGCAGCAACGGGTGATTGCACCTCAGTACCGCGCCATGACACACCCCTGCGGCTCCACGGGTCGCCAGTTGCTCTCCACCAGCCACTGCATGCCGCTCTGCCCCACCATGTTGTAGTTGTACATGTCCCCCACCACCACCGACGGGCCGAAGTCCGTCATGCACTTGTCGCTGCACTCTGCGCCCAGCGCGTCGTACCACCCGCCCCCGATGCGCGGGTTGGTGGCGGTCTCGACCATCTCGTGGGCGATGATGCTGATCATGCCGTCCACCCCCCGCTTGCCGTTTGGCGTTTTCCTGTGCGGGCATAGTGGGAGAAGCAGCAGCAGAAGCAGAAGCAGGTAGGGAAGGGAAGGGCCAAGAGGAGGTGGGTGCAAGTGAGGGGAGAAGTGAAGCGGATGGACGAGGGCATGAGTCAAAGAGAGCATGGGAGTGAGAGAGAGAGAGAGAGAGAGAGAGAGAGAGAGAGAGAGAGAGAGAGAGAGAGTGTGTGTGTGTGTGTGGGGGGGGGGGGTGTGTGCGTGCGTGTGTGCGTGCGCGTCCGTGAGTATGTGTGAGCGCGTGAGAGAGAGAGCTCGGCACGGGATTGGGGATTAGGTTGCAGGGGGGGCGGGGCGGGAAGGGGAGGGGGAAGGAGGGGGGGGGGGAGAGAAAGTGTTGACATCATCATCCTCAGCACTCACTTTCTGCCTCCGGCGCGCACGCATCTGGTTCCACACTTGTCTCCATTCCCGATAAATCCATATTTGATGTAGCTGACGCCGTCCGTCGCAAACGAGTGGAAGCCACAGTAACCGGACCGCCCGCAAAAACCCTTCTCCGGGTCGCCCAGTGACACGTCAGCGCTGGTCAGCACGAGGTACTGCGCTGAGCTGTCGATGGGGAGGGCTTGGGTGCGCAATTGCTGGTCGATTACTGGATGAGGGGGCGAGGGGGGGGGGAAGGGGGCAATGGCGGAAGCCGAAAGGGGAAAGGAAGACATTGGGGAGGAGGCGAAGCAGGGGGAGGAGGGGTGGGAACAAGCGGAGGGAAGGGGGAAGCATCGAATAGATCGAGAGAAGGATAGGCAGGCGAGAACGGCGGCAATGGAGCATGGTATCAACAAGCGAAGTGGAGGAAAAAACGCGAGAATGGGAGGAAATAGGAGGAGACTGGTCGGGGAGGAGGGGGGGACGGCGGGGGACGGCGGGGGATTGATCTAGAGGAGCAGCAAGAGGAAGCTCACTTTGCCAGACGCCCCCCAGGTCGTCCGTGATCACCTTCCCGAGCGAGTACTTGTCGAAAACTCGCTTGCGGAACTGGACCTGCTTGTACCGCGGATAGGGAAAGGAGGGTAGGAATGGGGAAGAACACGCTCTCGATATTCCGGGAGGAAATTCCGACCAAGTAGGCGATGAGTAGGTCGAGGGTAGGCGACGAGTAGGTCGAGGGTAGGCGACGAGGAGGTCGAGGGTAGGCGACGAGGAGGTCGAGGGTAGGCGACGAGGAGGTCGAGGGTAGGCGAGGAGTAGCCGGGTACTCGTCACAGGTTGGGCATCACGGAGGTCGAGAGCAAACGAGCTGGGGAGAAACCAGACGAGCGTGAGCTGGTAGAGCGAAGGAGCGAGGGCGTGCGAGCGTTGACGGCATACCTGTGACGACACGACGTGCGTCTGGCCGCCCTTCTTCATCGTGTACCACGTGGCGATCCGCCACCACTGCCACGCCGACACCGCCTTGGAGTCCTGCGGATGACGGAGATGAACGGAGATGGACGGAGATGGACGGAAATGGACGGAGGTGGACGGAGATGAAAGGAAATCACCGCAGGATACGAGCGAACATTCGCAGCTACACGGCATAGGCACAAACGAGAGAGAAACCTCAAAGAAGACCCCGAAAAGAAGAAGAAGAAGAAGAAAGAACTCTCGCTCGTTACCTTGGGCCGACCATTCGCAGCTACACGGCTCGTTACCTTGGGCGTGGTGTTGTTGTTGGAGAGCGAGTAGACGAAATTCTCGACGATGTTGACTTCCGCCATGGACCAGGAGCCGTAGTAGATGATAAACACCTTGATCGGTATCTTCGCCATCACCCACCCGCCGTGGTACCGAATCGGCAGCGCCTTGCGGCGATTCCATCGATTCCATTGCCATGCGAAGGTTCGCGCGATTCGGAGCTCCCGCGACCGCCTCGTCGCGTCGGCCGCCGCCATCACCGTCGATTGGCGAGGCGCCGCGGATAGCGGCTGTGCGACTGTCTGCGATTTAACTGAACTACTACTACTCTGGGATTCGGTGGGATTGCTTCTCTCGGTGGAGAACGGTGGACTGGTTGGCTGGGGAGTCAAGCTGGTGCGGCGCGTCGCGACGATGCCTGAGGAGCTTCGAGAAGCGGCCTGGTTCTGAGAGCTGCTGCTAACCATGTATCTCTTAGACGTCACTGGAACGACGTTGACTAGATCCGACGGTCTAAAATTCCCGCCGGCTGCTCTGCAGAGCAGCGATGCAACGAGCATCATGAAAAAGGCGCTGACTCGGTTTGGTCGGTTGACTCGGCCGATTCGGTTGGCTCGGCCCACGCGGCGCGTGGACGCCATGGCTCCAATCTGCCTGGACCGCGACCGGTCGCTTAGTAACTAACGTACCTATTAGGTACAGCTAGCGTTGCAACGAGATACAGGGTAGCTAAACTGAATACAGCCGCGTTTGTTGCTCCTGACAGCAGGAAGCAACGAAATCCATTCTGCAGAAAAGAATGAAAGTCACTTCGAAGGAATCGCATGCGGAGGCTTAAGGCTGTCAGAACGTTGTCATGGCCGAAACGAGCCTTTCACTCTTGAATCAAAAGGAAGGTTCGCGTTCTGAGAATAGGGACGTGTCTTAGATAGGCTCTGAAGCTACAGAGCGGACGGCCATGGCTATTCGAGTCCGCCATGTAGAGAGGGGAGGATTAGTGTAACCAGAAACCCAGCTCGAGGGAGCACTGCGAAGAGGGAGCGCTGCGAAGAGGGAGCACTGATCCTAGCCAGTGGGAAAGGAGGTTTAGCCACCTGTCGCTGTTGTGCGGTTAGGTTCAGACGAGATGAAATAAGTGAATCCATGGCAGAAAGGGCTGACTGCTTTGTGAATCCATGGCGGGCAAGTGGGGGGGAGGTGGGAAGGAGAGGATGAGGAGGCAGCAAGGGAGGATCCTATGGTGCAATGTGTACAATTGTTTATCAGAACCCTCTTCAACCGTTTTCGAATGTTTTGAACCGTCTGAAACCAGAGGAACATTACCGAACTGAAATAAAACGTACGCGCTGCTTTGGCGACCAGCAGCACCCTCTGCGAAACATCAGTCCTTCTCAGTCCACAAGAATTCGCCCCTGTGCGACGTTGGATGCGATCTGCGCGAAGGATTTCACCGAATGCACCGAGGGAAATGCGTCGCAGGCTCGAGTCAAGCAGCGCGGAGCGGAGAGGAGCAGAAGGGGGCGGGGCGGATCGGCGGGGCGCAACTGAGCGGGGGAAGGGAAAGGGAAGAGAGCGCCACGGGGAGATGGGCGGCCGGGCATCGAGATTCGGTTGCGACTGTCATGCCAGAAGCACACATTCATTTCGGCCTGCCCGATGTGACGAAGCGCCGCCCCGGTGGGAACCGCATCAGGAAAAAAGGGGCTTGGGAGGGGCCCATCGACGTCTCAGGATAGCTGTACGCGCGCGAATTATGGTCGATGGACGGTGGATAGGGATTCGTTAGCGCCATTGTCTTCCCCGACCAGCTTCGGTGGGAAGGCGGCGCCAAAACCCACTGTTGTCCTTGTTTTTCCCTGCCCGGTGACCACGATACAAAAAACCCGACCACAAGAGCCACGGAGGGGCAGAAAGTGCCTGCCCAGGTTCATTCTCCAGTCACTATGTGGAACCAGAAAGAGAGAATTTCCAGCTGACCCGGACAAACATTGCAATCACAATATCTCCATCCAGAGTGAAGCATTAGGGCTTGTCTAACGCCCACGCTTGACTGTGGTTGGGTGAGGTGCTTCCTTGATCAGAAGGATCAAGAACAAGCTGAAACGGTTGATAGGGGTTTGAGCAAAAGCGTACATGTTGGACATGTCCTGGGGTAACACCCTACACTTTTGCCCAGATTGTGAAAGTTTTCCACGGGCAGCCAAGCTGCTCGAGGAAGCAATCACCTCCCTGACGCGCGCCGCCGCGTTTCTTGACTCACTAAGAACCCTTAGCGGTGGACGAGCTAAGCGGCGGCGAGTCCCCATGAACGCGTATAACGAGTATTAGATTGAATACACCCAACGTAGTCAATCGTGTACACAAACACATCAATACATCAAGCCATCAACCCGACCTCCATCTAGCTTTTGATGAATAGAGATAGACACAGCTTATCCACATGGATGATCTAGCACATGCTACAGCACCCCATGATAATAAACAGATGATAATAGGTGGTAAGCTTAAAACAGATTGGGGCAGATGAGCCATTGTAGCAATGACACTGTCAAAACTTGTACCCCATTACTAGACACAGGTTCAGATGGATCTGAACCACCCAGTGGGCTCCTAAGGCGATAACACACCAGTAACTAGTTTTACTGCAAACATGACCATGCCTACACTACTCTACTCAACCTCTGTCCCACATCCGCTACCTTCCTGGTATCCCACACCTTGAGCTTCCCCTTGGACCCTCCCATCGCCAGGAAACCAGGAGCATCGGCGCAAAACGCCACCGAGAAAACAGCGCCCAGCTTAGGGTTTGACGACTCCATGCAGCGCGCCTGGTTGCCCGTGAGATCCCACAGCTTCACTGTCTTGTCCGTCGACCCAGACGCCAGGAGATGCGGGATTTTAGGGTTCCAGGAAACGGTGCACACCGCCTTGGTGTGCGCATGAATCGTGAAGAGGGCGTTCGGGAAGGGGGAACCGGGGGATGCTGAGCTGGCGATAGGGTTGGTGGTGCCAGTGCTGCTGCACGCCCGCGTGTCGTGGCAACAGATAAGCCCGTCCTCAGAAGAGACGACGAATCGGGTGCTGTCGTGTGGGTCCCACGCAAGGGCCTCCACGTCAGCAGAGACGCCCCACCGCAGCACTGTAGCATCAGGCGATCGAACATCCGTCTGAGTGGGGGCGAGGAGGACAGAACAGAAGAGGGGTGGAACTATGAGACTCTAATCAAAGGGGTGCACGGAGAGAGGTTTGGATAGGTTTGCACGGCAAGCCCAAACAAAGGAGGATGGGCGGAAAAGGAGGGGGACTAAGTATGGTAAGGAATGTTTGGAAAAGTGGGAAGGGAAGGGCAGCCGAATTGAAGAGAGCCAAGAGGAGAGACGCCTACCAGAGCAAGGGAGCAGTCAAACGACCCCGAGAGCAACATGGTGGGCGCCCACACCTTCACACACCGATCAGAGCTGATAACGCACCTACCAGAGGCACTGAGGCGCCTACTCCTACCAGGGGAATGTTGAACCTACCAGCACGAGCGAGCGGTCAAACGACCCCGAAAGCAGCATGGTGGGCTGCAGGGGCGCCCACGCCACAGCCTGCACCTTGCCGGTGTTTCAGAGTCACCTGAGAAACCCATGAGGCACCTACCAGAGCGATTGTGCGGTCAAACGATCCAGAAAGCAGACTGGTAGGCTGCAGGGGCGCCCACGCCACGGCCTGCACCTTGCCGGTGTGCGGCTTGAGCGTGCGGTCGCAGCGCTGGGCGGCCATGTCCCACACCTTCACCCGCCGGTCCTCGCCGCCACTCGCCAGCACGTTGCGGTACTCGCGGTTCCACGAGAGGGCCATCACCGCGCCCTTGTGACTCCCCTCCTTTAGCACTGCTGCTGCTGACTTTTGAACCTTTCCTGCCTTCCCTTGTCGGCTGCTTCCGCTCTGCTTTGCTTCCCTCTCCTGGCCCTTCCTCCCCTTCCTTCCCTTCCTTCCTCCTTTGTCCTTCTCCCCTTTCTTTCCCTTTGAACCCTTCTTAACCCCTGAACCCCCTCCCCCCCCCTCTCCCATCTCCTCCTCTTCCACCTCCTCCCACTCCCCCTCCTCATCCTCCTCTTCCCCATCCGCCCCCTGACCCCCCGCTGTTGTCACAAACCCCCCTAAAGATGCAGCGGGTTCGACCTCGTCTAAAACATCCAAGTCCCAAATCTCAATAGCAGGGTCCATAGTCGCAACTGCCACGAAGTTTCCTGGCGCCAGGATGCTCGCGCCGCCTCCCGCGGCGGCAACTGCGACGGCGGCCGCCCCGGCGGAAGCACCGGCGGAACCGGCGGCGGCGGAGGCGGGATTGAAGTCCATCCAGGCGAGCGCGAGGGGGAACGCGGGGAGCATGATATCGTGGTGCACGTACATGTTGAGCTCCTTGTCGTTTTGCGCCACGTCCTCGTCCTCCCCCTCCTCCCCCCGCTGCTGCTGCTGCTGCTCCTCGCACACCCATACCTCGATGAAGCTGACGTCATCCTCGTTTCTTGCCGCGAGAATGAGCAGGTCTGTATCGCGTATGGTCAGATCTTCGATCTCCTCCTCCTCGTCATCGTCGATCCCCCCCTCTGCTTTGGTCAGGTACGGATCTTCCTCGTTGCTTCGGTAATAAGCCGCGCCGATGCCCTTCCCCGTACCGAACAGGTTCGGCGCCGCGTCAGCCTCGTCGTCATAGTGGTCCATGTCCAGCTCAGCAAGCTCGTCTGCCAGCCTGTCATCCGCCGATTGGCCCTTCTTCGCTTTCCGAATCTCCGCCGCAAGCGCCGCCGCCGCCGCCGCTGCCTCCTCCCCGTCTGCCTCCCCGTCCTCCTCCTCCTCCTCACCCTCCTCCTCTTCCTCCTCCATAGCAGCGTCCTCGTCGTTCTCTGCGTCCCCCTCTGCGTCTCTCTCATCTCCTTCCTCAGCGTCAGCGGCGCCGCCAGCTACGGCGGCGGCGGCGGCGGAGGCGGCGACGCCTTCGGCGCGGCGGCGCACCTCCGCGACCTCGTCCTCGTCGAGCTCCGCCGTTTTGGGGAACGGCTTCGCCGCGCCGCGCGGGACCCACGAGATTGCGGACAACATGGCGACGGGTTACAATGTCACGACTGAGGGTTTGAGATCGCTACACTCGAGATGGAGTGATGACGCAGGCTGCAACGCGCTCGTGAACTCGTGAAATTGCCGTGCGGTGCGTGAGGTGCGGGAGGTTTGGGAAGTGGTGGGAGGAAAATAGAGGGGCAAAAATAAAAGCTTGAGTTTGAGACGGAGTTCAGGGTTGTAGGGGGAAAGGTTTAGGGTTGTGTAAGAAGTTACCAGATCCCGTCGCAAATTCTCCTCGCCAGCCAGCTGCCGTCGTCGCCGCAATACTGCTGAGCTGCAATGTAGCTACCGCTGCAAGTACACTTTCGTCGCCAGAACTGAAACCAAGGCTGGTTACAGTTTTCGTCTAGGCCTTCCTGGTTTCGTCCATTCGCCTGCTATGGCGTTCGTGGCACACAGAAGCTCCTCATCCTGGACCACGGAATGGATCTGGGAATTCAGACAAGCCTCGGGAACTCCACTATATCGAAACGACGGATGAAAGCACTCGTTATTGGAACATTCTCTCGTACGCCCCCCTTTTCTTGTTTTGTCCGCGAGACCTCAAAGCCAGATCTGGCTTTCTGCCTTCAAATTCCCGCTTCGAATCTCTTCCTCATTTTTTTCTCCTGCTTTCACTCCTCCCCGTGTCTAGATTTCTCCCGTGCTGTCTGACCAGCCTGCTGACTCGGAAGCTTTGACTGATATTAGACGCACGGATTAATAGAATCTGGTTATCTTCGTTCCGAGCTACCGATTCCAGCCCCCTTATTGTCGATCTCATTCATCGGCATAGTGTGCTAGATCGCGTTGAGTCGATTCTTCCTGCTTCCTCGTCTGATCATCTGTCAGTCGACTCTTCCCGTCGATCCGCCGTGTATCAAGCGCATCGTGGATCGAATTTACTTCTCGAAGTGTCATTGATCCTGGGTGCGACCTTAAATCCGTGAACCTTCAAGCTCCCCACGTGAAGGATACTTGAATTCTTGAATCCCCAAGCTCTCTCGTGCCGGCTGACTGATCCCGTGTTTCGAGTCCCTTCGAAAACCTTCACAGGCTGACGTGCCGATTCTCATCTGCTGCCGTTCATCGACATTTGCTTCCCACGTAATAAATCCCCGATCCTACAAGCTCTCGCTCCTGCCGGCTGACTCGTCCCGTCGCCATGGCATCGGAAGGCGATAAGATCACGCCCGAGCTGGAGGCTTCCGTCAACTCTCCAGGCGTGAACGGCAACGCCGACGCTCCAGAAATCACGGATGGAGCGAAACCCGATGCTCCGGGTGCTGCGGCCACAGCAGGATCCGCAATTGCAGCAGCAGATGCAGCAGCAGAAACAGCCGCAGCAGGAGGAGGCGAAGGAGGAGGGGATGGTGGTGTTAGTGGTGGAGAGGGAGCGAAGAAGGCGGGGGAGGGGAGCAAGGAGGGGAAGGAGAGCGACGCGCAGGCGAATCTGGAGAAGAAGAAGGCGCGCGCGGAGCGATTTGGGACCGAGCTGACCATCAGCGAAGCGGAGAAGCGCCGCCTGCGGGCCGAGCGGTGAGCCATGCGATGCTCGCGAAACCGAATCTCGCGAAACTGAGTCTCGCACGCAAGTCCTGATCATTTCGCCACTTCGCGTGTGCGTGCTCTGCATGCTGGGCCGTGTCGCACGGTCCGGCACTCAGGACCGTGTTTCTCATGCTTCGCGTGCCACGTGTTTCCTCTCCCCTCCCCCGCGCCTCCTCCCGTCAGGTTCGGCACTCTGGAGCCGGCGCCGGAAGATGCTAGGAAGGCGCAGCGAGCGGCCAAGTTCGGAACTGGTGCGAATGGCGCCAGTGGCGCTAGCGGCGCGGGTGGCGCGGGTGGCGCGGGTGGCGCGGGTGGTGGTGGCAGCAGCAGCCAGGCGGACAAGGCAGCGGAAGAAGCGCGGAAGAAGGCACGCGCGGAACGGTATGTCGCGCCCTCGATTTGTCTCATTCCAGATCTTCTTGCGAAGCGGGAGGCCCGAGCCAGCAGCCGGCACTGCACTCTACTGCCGCTTCCTCCTTCTCTGCGCCTCTGCTTGGTCCCACCTCCACGTCCTCATCCCCTTTCTCATCGCTCGCCCTCATCCCACGCCCGCATCACACGTCCTCATCGCACGTCCTCATCCCACGCCCGCATCGCTCGCCCTCATCGCACGTCCTCATCGCACGTCCTCATCGCACGCCCTCATCCCACGCCCGCATCCCACGCCCTCATCCCACGCCCGCATCGCTCGCCCTCATCGCACGTCCTCATCGCACGTCCTCATCGCACGCCCTCATCCCACGCCCGCATCGCACGTCCTCATCCCACGCCCGCATCGCACGTCCTCATCCCACGCCCGCATCGCACGTCCTCATCCCACGCCCGCATCGCACGTCCTCATCCCACTTACTGCAGGTTCGGCACCACTCAGCCCTCTGCCCTGAGCGCTGAGGAAGCCGCAAAGCGGGAGGCTCGAGGCAAGAAGTTTGGGACGGCGGGGGATGGCGCTGCGGCAGCAACGGCAGGCGGCGATAAGAAGAGAGCGACCGACGACGCGTGAGTGGTGGGAAATCTGGATGAGGATGGGGGGACGTTTGCGGGGAGGTTTGGAAGTGAAGGGCTTGAGCCAAGAAGGTTTGGGACGGTCGGGGATGGCGCTGCAGCAGCTGTGGCAGGCGGCGATAAGAAGAGAGCGACCGACGACGCGTGAGTGGCGGGAAATGAAGGGCTTGAGTTTGGATGAGGATGGGGGGACGGGAGGTTTGGAAGTGAAGGGCTTGAGCCAAGAAGGTTTGGGACGGTCGGGGATGGCGCTGCAGCAGCTGTGGCAGGGGGAGATAAGAAGAGGGCGACCGATGACGCGTGAGTGCGGCAGCGTACGCTTTAAGGCACCCTTGAGTCGACACCTTGATTCACCTCCTCTCCCCCCACCGTGCTGTCGCGCCCTCTCTTCTCCTCCCTCCCGCCTGCCAGATCTATCGCCGCGGACAGCGAGCTCGAGGCGAAGCAGAAGGCTAATTTACCCTTAAGTCGACACTTTGACTCATCCTCTCTCGGCCCCACCGTGCTGTCGCGCCCTCTCTGTCTCCCTCTCCCGTCTGCCAGATCGATCGCCGCGGACAGCGAGCTCGAGGCTAAGAAGAAGGCTCGGGAAGAGAAGTTCGGCACATCCGTGCCGTCTGCTTAGGCGCGGCGGGGGAATGGAGGGGGGGTGAGGAGGGGGGAGGGGAGGGGATGGCAGCAGGAGGAGAAGGGGATGTGCGGCGCAGCGTGCGGGAGCGGGTGGGAGGAGGGGGATGTGCGGTGCAGGGTGTGGGAGTGGGTGGGAGGAGGGGGGTGTGCGGTGCAGCGTGCGGGAGGGGGTGGGAGGAGGGGGATGTGCGATGGAGGGTGCGGGAGCGGGGACGTGACAGCAGCTGTGGGGGAAAGGTGGCGCGTGTACGGGTGGCTGTGGGGAGCAGGGCGGGGCGCAGGGCGGGGGCGCAGGGCGGGGGAGCAGGGCGGGGGAGAAGGGCGGGGGCGCAGGGCGGGGGAGCAGGGCGGGGGAGTAGGGCGGGGGCGCAGGGTGGGGGAGCAGGGCGGGGGAGCAGGGCGGGGGAGCAGGGCGGGGGAGCAGGGCGGGGGCGCAGGGCGGGGGCGCAGGGCGGGGGAGCAGGGCGGGGGCGCAGGGCGGTTCTCGGTGTGGGAGTGTTAGGGTAGCGGTGGGGGTGGGAGATGCGCTAGGAAATAGGTTGGGGGTGTGAGGGCAGCAGATGCGCGTTAGGGGGGAGATGCGGGTTGCAGCACGTGGAATTGGGGAGGTGGCAGCCGCTGAGGGGGGAAGAAAGGGGAATATGATGGCGACGGTGCGCGCTTGGTTGGGCCGCAAGAGCAGCGGTGATGGAGGGAGGAGGGGGTGGAGGGGGAGGGGTTAGGCGCCTCTAGAGTAAGATTCAGGAAGTTGTAGCTGCGGGGTGGAAGAATGGTGGCGACGGTGTGTGTTTGGTTGGCGACGGTGTGTGTTTGGTTGGGCGTAAGGCAGCAGCTGCTGTGGTAACGGAGGGGTTGCCTCAAAATGAGAGAAGGGGAGTTGCCCAAGTGAAGAGGTTGGGTAAGCGGGTGTGTGGTGGGGGCGATGTGTGTTTGGCTGTGGACCAGCTGGGGCGTTGGAGCAGCTGCGGTGGCAGCGGGAGTCTTGAGCGCCTAAGAATGTGTATGCGCCGCAGGGGGGGGAGGGTGTGCGCCACAGGGGGGGGAGGGTGTGCGCCACAGGGGGGGGAGGGTGTGCGCCGCAGGGGGGGAGGGTGTGCGCCGCAGGGGGGGGGGGTATGCGAGGTGTGGAGTGGACGGACCTGGTTTGGGAAGGCGGCAGCCGCTAGGAAAGGAGAGTAAGGAGAGAAAGGAGAGAAAGGAGAGAGAGGAGGGATCGCTGATCGGTGTTGGCAGAAGTTGTTCGCCGTGCAGCTTATAGGGGGAGGCTGGGGGAGATTGGGGGAGGCTGGGGAGATTGGGGAGGCTGGGGGAGATTGGGGGAGGCTGGGGGAGATTGGGGGAGGCTGGGGAGATTGGGGGAGGCTGGGGGAGATTGGGGGAGGCTGGGGGAGATTGGGGGAGGCTGGGGGAGATTGGGGGAGGCTGGGGGAGATTGGGGGAGGCTGGGGGAGATTGGGGGAGGCTGGGGGAGATTGGGGAAGGGAAGGCAGCAGCCGCTAGGAAAAGAGGGCTGGCGAATGTTGTACGGGGTACACCCAGGGTCGGGCCGAGCTGCACGGATCCATGTATGGGGTGCGGCTTGTTGGGGGAGGTTGGGGAAGGTACGGGGGCAGCAGCTGCAGGTATGGGGAGGTGAGGCAGCAGCGGGCCAAGCTGCACAGATTTTGTATGGGGTGTGCGGCTTGTGGGGGGAGGTTTGGGAATGCGATGGCAAGAACTGCAGGTATGGGGAGGTGAGGCAGCATTGGCCCGAGCTGCACGGATCCATGTATGGGGTGCGGCTTGCTGGGGGAGGTTGGGGAAGGCACGGGGGCAACAGCTGCAGGAATGGGGAGGTGAGGCAGCAGCGCGGGAGGGGCAGCAGCGTATGATGGTGGCTGTGCTGCGGGGCGATGGTTGGGCGAGTCAAGGCAATTTGGGGCAGGTTGGGGCAGGTTGGGGCAGGTTGGGTGCGTTGTGGAGGAAAGGAGGTGGGTGATGGGGGCTATATGAGGTGTGGGGTTGGCGGCTGTGTGGCGGCTGTGTGAGGTGTCTTTTGAGAGAACACCACTTGGTGGTGGTTTTAGCCATACGTGGCAGCGGGCTTGTAGAACACTTTGTTTAGAGAAAAATTCTTGCTCTGAAAAATCTCTTGAAAACGTAGGGCAAAAATTGATGGTAACTAGTTTCGGCAGGTGGCTGCCTTCATCAGACCATGTGAGCTATATGATGGGTGATGGGGGCTATATGAGGTGTGGGGTTGGCGGCTGTGTGGCGGCTGTGTGAGGTGTCTTGTAAGTCGACTCACCAGACATCGAAGGTCAGGTTGGGGAGAATATGCGCTGTTCGGCGCGCGTGGAGAAGGTGTTCCGCACGCCTGGAGAAGGTGTTCGGCACGCGTGGAGAAGGTGTTCGGCACGCGTGGAGAAGGTGTTCGGCACGCGTGGAGAAGGTGTTCGGCGCGCGTGGAGAAGGTGTTCGGCACGCGTGGAGAAGGTGTTCGGCACGCGTGGAGAAGGTGTGGGGTGCGCATGGAGAAGGTGTGGGGTGCACGTGGAGAAGGTGTGGGGTGCGCGTGGAGAAGGTGTGGGGTGCGCGTGGAGAAGGTGTGGGGTGGGCGTGGAGAAGGTGTGGGGTGCGCGTGGAGAAGGTGTGGGGTGCGCCTGGAGAGGCAGGGGCAAGGGAGGAGGGGGATAGTTTCTGTAGCAGACTTATGTCTTCTGCTGCACCTGCCTTCAACCTCCAGCAGTATTCAGCAGCAGCTGCAGCTCCAGCAGCAGTATTCAGCAGCAGCAGCTGTAGCACCAGCAGCAGGATTCAGCAGCAGCAGCAGCACCACCACCACCAGCACAAGCAGCAGTATACAGCAACGGCAGCAGCATCAACACCACCAGCACCAGCACCAGCACCAGTATGCAGCAGCAGCCTACATTCTTCAGCCATCTGCAGCAGTGCTTTCCGTTCTTCTGGAGAGCGTCATGCTGGTGCATGACGCTCATTAGCAGTGATATCTGTTCTTCTGGAGGGCATAACCGCTGAGTTCTGTGCTCTCACCCGTTCCACTGCCGCCCCTTCCACTGCCGCCCATTCCACTGCCGCCTCTTCCATGCCTGCGTGCCACACCAGTGGCCAGTGGCCATGCCTCCATCCGCTCATTGCGTGCGCCTAACTTTCCGCCAGCCAGTGCCTGCTTCTGCTGCGCCAAGCTTCTGAACGAATCAACTCGCCCCTCTTCTCAACGCGCCCCTCTTCTCAACGCATCCCTCTTCTCAGCACTCGACATGCCTCGTGCTTGCATTGCTTGCATTGTCTCCCTCCATCCTGCCCTCTTCACATACTCGTCTCAACCCGACGGGTGATACGACTCGCTCCTACCATTACTGCCTCTTGCCTGCTTGCCTCCTGGCCTTCCTGTTCTCTCTCCACGCAGCAACTCCGTGCATCTAGCCAAGCAACCACCGTTCCTGCTGCCTGCAACTACCTAGAAGCCCTCTCCACATGCCCTCAGCTGCACTCGCAACCATCAGCCGATCTGCGCACTGCTGCCCTGCGCACTGCGCACTGCTGCCCTGTGCACTGCTGCCCTGCGCACTGCGCACTCGCAACTCCATCCTCGTGTTTTCCACCTCTGCCTTCTCCCTCTCACTCTCTCTCTCTCCCTTCTCGTCTTTCCCATGTCAATTCTGGCTCCCTGCTTTCGTCCCTTCGTCTGGTCTTTCGCTCGGTCATGTTCTGGTCATGTTCTTGCACTTTGCTCGGTCTTTCATTTTGCTCCAACTCTGTCTCCTATGCTCTATTCAGTCGTTTGGTGTTGTCTGGGTTCCTTCCAAGTCATGCTTTTCTTCGTCGTGTCTGTGATTTGCTTCTTGCTTCTTTCTGCCTTTGCTTCTTGCTTCTTCCTATCTTCCTCCCATCTCTTCTTGGATTCTACTTCTCCACCTTCCTTCCTACACATTACAATAGCTGCCACGTGTAAGCAGCTCTGGAATATGTACCCTTTGCCAGATGGCTTGCTTTCAAAACTATGTGTTGCAAGAAGTACTTACAACGTGCGCTGGAGGGCCGGAGGGTTGCTAGGAGTGCTGCAGGGTTGCAGTCAGCGCTGGATGGTTGCAGTGAGTGCTGGCGGGTTGCTTGGAGCGCTACAGGGTTGCGACGCTGCAGGGTTGCTTGGGTTAGCAATGAGCGGTAGATTCCAAAGGTGGGCATACCTTTTCAGTCCTCCTGTATTGCTAATTTGATTAGAATTGTCACTACCCCTTGTCAGTCCTCCTGTGTTTCTAATTTGTTTAGAACGACTACCCCTTTTCAGTCCTCCTGTACTGCTAATTTGATCAGAAATACTACCCCTTTTCAGTCCTCCTGTATTGCTAATTTGATCAGAATTACTACCCCTTTTCAGTCCTCCTGTATTGCTAATTTGATCAGAATTACTACCGGTAAATACAGAGACATTTGCACACAGACATGCAGGGCTCCTGCTAGTTTTTAGGGCAGTCTGAAAATCAGACGGGTTCTTAGAGCTTCGTCTGACCGTCAGACGGATTTATTTTGCCTGTCTTACGATTCAGACGAAATGCAAGGACGTGTCTGAGAATTCAGACGGTTTTGCATCCTGATTTTATCACAGCTCATCAATACTACCAAGTTACCAACATACAACACGACGTCAAAAGTTAGACTACTGCAGCTCCTACCATACAATGAATAATCATCAGCTTCTACCATCAGGAATAATCAACAACTGCCTATTGCAGAGGTGAGGTGAGCTCAACTAAGCTCACGAACTACTTGTTGGGCTGAGATATTTCCAATACTACTCCTAAGAGCACTTATTTTGCTGCTACTCCTGCTAATGCCGCTACTGCTGCTGCTGTTGCTGCTGAGGCTGCCTGCTATTGCTGCTGAGGCTGCCTGCTACTGCTGCTGAGGCTGCTTGGTACTCATGGTGATGCCTTCAGTCAGAGTCGGTGTCGCTGTCCACAGTGGCCTCCTCCTCTTCCTCAGAGTCAGATTCAACGGCAATCATCTTCCCCTTGCCCTTCCTCCTCCACACAGGGCCAGCTGCAGCATCCTCCTCAAACACACGTGCTGCTTCCACAGCAGCCAATGCCTCTGCCTCTCGAGCTGCTGCTGCTGCTGCCTTCGCTGCTGCCTTTGCCGCTTTTACTGCATCGGACCTCTTCGGCTTCTTCGTCGGCCTCGAGCCCTGTGCCATCACAACTTCTTTGGCAGGGCGCCGCTTCTTGACTCCCCCGCGCCACATGGTCACCAGTTCCTCCCACTCCATCTCGTACTCCAGCAGCGAGATGGTCATCAGGTCGCTCAGGCGCGCATCGCAGAGGTTCCCGCGAAGCCAGCTATTAATCACATTCTGTCGGCTGAAGCCGCGCTCGCACTCCACCGTGCTCAGAGGCAGCACGGCGACAGCAATCCACACAAGGACAATGTTGGGGTAGGCCATCTTCCAGTCGTCGCTTGAGAGCATGTGCTTTAGGGCAGCGTGGAAGTCGAGGTCGTCATGGTGCGTTGACATGATCGTGGTGAAGCTGGTGAGTTCCTTCCTGGCCTTGCCCCAATGGACGCCTGAGGGCGGGGGAGGGGTCGGCGGAAGGGTGGGTAAACAGAAGTCAGGAATGGGCAACAATGGAGAGCAGGGTTATACACGCGAGAGAGCAGCCACTTATAGACGCGATGACAAGGGCAGGGTGTCAGGGGCTGTGGGGTCGCGCTTCCACAGGTTGCGCAGAGACAACAGCCACTCCATGAACTTACGCTCGCGCCTGAACGCGGTTCGAGGATACAAACTCTGCTTGTAGAGGCGAGTGCCGTTGAGGGAGGACAAGTCGTGGAATCGGCCGCGCAGATGGCCGATCATCGCCAACACTACAGCAGTTCCCAGCTTCTGGAGTGACTCCCCCCTCCGCTTTGTTGGCCTTCGATCGGTCGCTCATGAAGCTGGTACGTGTGGATGAGAGGAGTGCCGTTTGCATCTGTGCCCGAGATAGTAACGTCCTTGCCGCCAGCATGAAGTTGCAGAAACTCGAAGAAGTCGCCCGAGGTCGGGCCAAACTGCGAGTCGTAGGTGACGTACCGGCTGCGCAGGATGAGGATGGTGTTGTCCACCATCCTAAGAACTTGCGTCATGTCGACCTGGGGGAGGGGTGCAAACAAAGAGAAAGCAAACATTATAAAGTACTCGGACATGTAAACAGAAATCATGCTAAGAAGGACGTACCTGTCGACGCTGGAACTTCAGATTCAACGCGTTGAGCTCCGCGAGGATGTCAGCCAGGAAGTACAGAAGGAAGTGGAACTTCAGGCTAGTGACAACAGCATACATCTGACTATCATACTCCCGCAGCAAGAGGATAGCAGCTGGGAAGACCTCGACCAGCCGCTGAATGGCTTCACCCCGAGAAAGCCAGCGGATCTGATGGATCCCCTGCATCTCGAGGTTGGTCTCGGTCACCACCTCCTGCAGCTGCTTGAAGCGGTTGTGGACGACGATCGAACGGCCGAGGATATCCGCCAAGGAGCGGACCACCTTGTCGACCACACCTAGATCAGGAAAGTCCGCTGCTGCGTCCTTAGCGGCTAGGGCCTCCCTGCATGCATGGCCACGGAGGGATGATTAACAAAGCGCGGAGAAACAGCATGATAAAAGACGGGTGGAGTGCGAATGGCTACCTATGAGCAATGCAATGGCATGATACTAGATGCGGAATCCGAGTGCGAAGACGGGCGACAAGGCCCAACTGCGCTCCCGTCATCACGCTGGCGCCGTCGGTGCTGATCCCACAGATCTTATTGAGGTCGACCCCACATGACTCCAGGTGAGTCAGAAGCACGGCTTGCAGGGAGGCGGCATCGCACTTCTCCACCGTGAGGTGCGCGAAGAACTCCGTGGCGACCTCCGTACCGCGCAGGAAGGTAAGGTAAACGATCATGTGCTTCCCTCGGCGCCGGTCCGTACTTTCGTCGAATTGGATCCCAAGAAAGGGGCTCGCCTTGATATGGACCATCTGCTTCGCCCGCAGGTAAGCCACTAGGTTCTCGACGAGCTGGATGAAGCCATACCTGCCATTCGGGTAACACCGGAGGGCATACGGAAGGAGTAACGCAAATAGAGACAGTAAGTTCAAACAAATGTCATAAACGGCAAATGAGGAACTCGGATGAGGAGGGCTTCGCCTTAAAAACGTGGGACACTTACTCGCTCTGGTAGGTTCCTCGTTCCTTCAAGGGCAGATCAGGTGTCCCCTGTTCTGCCATGAACTGGACAAGGGAAACGAACAGAACGATAGGTGCATCCGACTTGCAAACAAAAAGCACGATGGCCATGAGCCGCTTCAGTCGTCGAGCCTCATTGTCACCGTTCTCGAAGTCGACGATCGACTTCTGCTTCTTCATCTTCCCGTCGCGCTGCAGTTTCTTTGCCACGGCAGCCTCATGCTTCAGACTGTGATGATGCTTATGCATTGTTTGCTTCTGAATGTCGATGCCGCCCTCACCGTTGTGGCCGTACTGATAGTCGGGGTCGTCGCCAAACGCCATGCAGACGCTGCACTTCATGCAGGGGCGACCCTCCTTAGTCTCGGAAATCACCAACCATGGAAAGTGGCGTAACCACTGCTCCCTCGCTTTGAGTTGGAGCTCCTCCACCGTCAAGAAGAATGGCCCGTCGTCGTCATTATTCGGGGAGCTGGGACTAGGATCGCCGCTGCTGCTGCCGAGCTGGATAGGATTAGCCGCAGTCGAGGCACAGGCATGCCGACCGAAGCTGAGTTTGCGCTGGATGTACTTCGCCTTGTCAGACTTGCGGGCGGGCAAGACGGGCCCTCCAGAGACGCGTGGCGGAAGGACGGCCGAAACGGTTTGCCTTGTAGGTGATGACGGACGGGAAGGCCTAGTAGCAGAGTTGAGCTCGGAGCCTTCAGCACCAAAGATGATCCATGGCTCCGTGTCCAACGGAGGCAGTGGGCTCAGAGGAGCCACTGTAGGGGGAGGACTAAGCACGGGCGAGCGGGCGGCAGGAGACGGGCTACGCGATCGTGCACATGCTGCGGGTAACGGACTAGCGGCGGGAGAGCGAGCCGAGGGTGGAGAACTCAACGCATGCTTGTTACTCGTACTAGGACTAGCCTCTCGACGACTAGTCGTATGTCGAGTAGTGGAAGGAGGCGGTGCGGGTTTGACAGGCAGAGTAGGCTCGACGGGCATACGCCTCTGATGCGGCTCAGTGCTAAGGGGAGGTGGCGCGGGTCGGGACCGAAGCAGGTCTAGCCCCGTAACCGTCGATGGTGCGGCATCTTTAGGAGGGTTAGCATTAACCTCCTCTAAGGCCATAAGATGAGACACACGATATGAGCAAGAACTAGGTGGGAGAGCCAGCCAAGAATGAAGCACTAGGACGAGGGAAGGACGAGGACACCAAAGAGAGCACTCATGGCTGCAGGGAGTGGTTCTCTGAGACGTGGTGGTCTGTGGGCTTCTGTGGGCTGATTGTTCACCATGGCGGCTCGAAGAAGAGCGGCTTGGGGTTGCAGATTCAATACGAAACCCTCGTCGTGCACGACGAGGGTGGCTTGCGGTTTCATCGGGAAATGCGCTGGCACATTGCTGCCCAGCGCTGCTTGCTTGGAACCTGGCTGGCAGCGACGGTGCCCGTAACAAGACAGTGGCGTGGCAGCAGCTAGCGTCAGCAAGCTGAAAATTTATGTGCGCTGGACTGTTTCGCTGCCGCGCTCGGGGTAGAATTGAATGCGTGTGCTGCGGTGCACATGGGACAGGGTGGCTGGCAGTGGCCTAGTGGCATGTGGACTAGTGGCCCTGCTGCTAGAAGGGCAGATTTGTCGGTATCAGACGGAAAAAAACGGCCGGTCTGATAAATCAGATGAAAGTGTACACCTAGTCTGATGTTTCAGACGAATTCTTATAACTTGTCTGAACGATCAGACGAATATATTTGGCTTGTCAAAAAATCAGATGAAACATAAAAACCCGGTCTGATTTTCAGACCATCAGACCGATTTGGTCTGATAACGGGAGCCATGCAGACATGCCATGGCTTCCTGGCAAATACACCAAGATCCCAGTCTTCTACTTCTTACACAACTGTTGTAGCCAGCAGACCAGAAGCTAGGGTCGGCTATCTACTGCTGCTACATTACACAGCACGGATCAATAGTACACCGGCCACAAAAACCTATGCTAACTGCCCTTTCTTCATTGATATAGCTTGCTTCTATGCAATGCAATTCCGATTATTATTTCAGCCAATAGAACCAGAAACCAGGAATTTAAATCCTCACGGTTACCATGCTATGCAGCACATCCACTGTACAATATAAACTTGGA